ACAACCAAGCACCTACTTGCCCATAAATTTGGTCCAAAATCGATATTTCTTGAAATTTTTGAAATTCTGTTCGAAAATGACACTTTTATATGGAAAATGGTCGAATTTTTCAAGGTCAAAAGAGATATGAAAAAAGTTTCCATTTCAATTTTGGTTAAACCAGAGACTGAAATTTTCGGGATCTTCCTCTTCTTCTTATTGTGAAATTCAATTTTATTTTGAAAACGCAATCTGACTTCTAAAATTGTTCTAGCCTGAAATAACTAAAAATTGATCTAGAAATTGTTTCAGGATGAAAAATTTTAAACCCACATTGCGTTTTCAAAATAAAATTGAATTTCACAATAAGAAGAAGAGGAAGATCCCGAAAATTTCAGTCTCTGGGTTAAACATTAAGCGGGGAGTAAACTAAATTTCTGCGGAGCGGAAAAGTTTGGATTACGTATGTAATTCGTTTTATTTAACGGTTCGCATACGTCGGCATCGTACGGTTTGTTACGACAAATCGGCCATTATAACCTTGAGCTCAACTGAATGCGAAATATGATAGGCAACGATAGCTGAAATTTAAGATCCAAAACTGTGATCAAATTCGGGAGCAAAAACCGAATCTATGTCTGGCTTTAGTTAGCGTTCAACAAGTAAATTTATTTTAATCATAAGTCACGATAATTTCAGCAAACCGAAATGATGTTTCTTCGATTATCAAATGCTTTCGAGTGATCCAAGTGGAAAAGAAATACATCAGACTGAAAAGTTACGCTATTTTATCAATTATCACAATTTGTGATACCAATCAAATCTACATGATGATACCAATCAAACTTGGATTTATATGACAAATCGTGTATAAACGATAAAATATCGTGTAATTTCAAATAAACCAATGAATTGGTCAATACTATCACCCGATATACGCATCTGTCAAATGTGTGAAACATTAAAAATTACACGATATTTTAACGTTTTACACGATTTATCATATAAATCCAATTTTGATTGGTATCGTGTAGATTCTTACAGATATTTTTCTGTGTGTAGGTGGTTTTACAAAATAAAGTTTAATTGTTCTGACGATGTTAACGTAATATATCGCCGTAGTAAAATTGAAAAATGTCTTTTTTCACGCGTACACACACACACATGCATGAACTGGATATTTATTGAATAAATAAACAGATTAGAGTTTGCTTGCTAAAATCATTTGCAACGTTAGTATACAAATGAATTGTTCAAAGTTCGCCGTTGCCAGTGCGGCGTTTTGAAACATTCAGATTCACAAGCAGATTTGACAGCACTCATATACACACTGTGCATTGCACAGTATGCTATTTAAAAACTAAACACAATATTTTCAATTTAATTTTTCGTTTCAAAACTTCAATAGCACCCTTATAAGACGCAAAATGCCAATTGTATGAATGAAAGTCAAATATTTTCTGTTTTTTCCATTTTAAGCTTTACTTTAAAGTTCTGTTCGACAAAAAGAATAGCACTCTTTTAAAAATGGCATTAATAGAAAATGTGTCAGTAATCTCTATCAAATCCGACAGCTAAAGATGGTATAGACCATTTCGTTGTTTCAAATTCATCGTATATAAATGATTTTAAATTAGAGTTCCTTAATGGATTCATTCATTAACTTCGTTCACTTATTCAGATTTATTCAAATTGAGATTTCAAATTTCGCAAACACGCAGTTCTATGAAATGTGACCGTTCCCAATTTGATTGTTTGGGTAAAAACTTTGCACACGATGTCCCCAGACATGGATTTTCGTATAATTTTATTAAATTTATACTCAAAATGAACATTCGACCGTTTCATTGTGGGCAGAATGTAAGCGTTCATGGTGGTGATGATGACGATGATGAGTAAATGAAAAATGCAGAGTGCATTAATAATATTGATATGTTTTGTTGTTGGAAAAGCTTCGCAAAATTCAATTTGATGGCACCCAATTTTAATTTTCACAAAGGCAGAAATGGAGAGAGAGAGAGAGAGCTTGTGATTGACAGTCCTTATAACAAGTGAGCGATCCTACAGTATAGAAACTCTTGTTTACCATAACTGATGCGGCTAATAAAAAATGGGACGCGCGCGCCAATGAAAATAACACCACATCCGATGTAAGGTAACGCAAGACGGCCGATTACACGGACATGCACTGTGTCTTCATTTGGAATCATTTGCATATTAACTAACATGACATTCTTTCAACTCGGTTATGAGGTTGTCATTAACTGTCAGATGGTGCGCGTTAGTTTTCAACATTGTTTGAAAATTTGAATTCAAAAGATAAGAGAATTAACAACAACAACATCCAAACCATCATCACTACCATCAGCAATGCCAACAAAATATGCTCCATTTCAATGGAACTTTCTATGGAAAAATAATAATCAAATACACCGCAATGCGTATAGCTGCTCATGAAACTGAATAATGATGATAATGATTCAGAGAAAAATAAAGATGATTTTGTTTTCGCAGAATAATTATTATTTAAAAAAAAAAACAAAGACATTCTTTTCTGTATTGAGACAGTTGATTGAATATTTAAAACTGTCATCTTTTGTCATTCATGCTTAACAGAGCTTAGATAAACAATATTATTATCATTACAAATGTTTTATGCCAAAGGTTCCTATGAATACATTTCACAAATGGTAACTGCGATAGTCGACTGAAAACTTTTTTTTCGTAGTTTTTCACTGATCGGATGCAAAATATTGCATGGATTGTTTGTTTATCTCAAGCTAGCTAGCAACCATTTCACCATCCTAATAGATGATGGCGATTGAAAGAATCAGGGAATGTTAATAATTTTTCTTCACTGAGTGAGATTAGAAAGAAAAAGCACCGTAAATGCTAACTATGCATTTGGAATTAATAATTATAATTGATTGCAATAAAATTTAAAAAGTTTTTCATGGTTCTTTTTTAAACTTTAACGGGAAAGTTCATTGCGCAAATTGCGTGGTAAATGTATATCAAGAAATATATATAGAATATCGCCCTCTTTTCGCCACACATATGCATGAATAAACGAAACAGTGAAAAAAGTGAACGTAGAAGAATAAGGGGGGGAGGAGGATAAAATTTTGCGCGAAAAACAACAAAGCACTCCGTGTGATGAAAATATCAAACATAAATTGAAGCGATTGCGGATTAAATATAATCTCTCACGTAAAATATTACATTCCACGTATTCGTTGATAGTTTGTCGAATGATAAGCACATTCATATTCAACAACAGCAACAACAACACCGAAGGCAACCAAATCGAACATCTGAATACAACGCAAAATAATGGCACGACAAGCAATCCCCGGCAAAAAGTCAAATAGATAATGGCGTCGAACGCATATGCTTGCGGGGATAGAGGACGAATTTATATAGCAATCAAGCCACTAGTACGATATTGGCACAATATCTTTTTTCATCATCCATTCGTGCGGTGACCTGGGGAAATTGTCGGTTGCTTTTTATTTCTTTCGGTAGAAATTGCCAAGTTGATTCTGTTGAGTGGTTGATGAAGTGTTCCACAATTTTACAAAGGTCTAAAATCGAAGAGAAAATCGAATTTAAAAATGAATTTCCGATAGATAATCTCATAGGAATGGAATAATCTAATAACCGCAAAATTATATGACAGGTAACATCAAAGCTTAGCTGAAGCCGTATATCCAAAATGAAAACAAAATATAAGAAAATTGGACCACCGCCACCCAGCAAAGTTAGTTCTTGGAAATAAAAACATCCACAATTGCTTCATTTGGCATAAAAATGAATATTCAATTTTTTTTACAGTCATTTATTATTTATCATTTTATTTAATGATAAGTAAAAATGGCAAGTTTGACTTTCACTTTTACTTCATCCAAAGCTGTCGACATAAACTAAACCTGACCAGATGCTGTGAAGTTTGACTCGAATCGCGTTCGCTACTTTACCTTTGACGTAAGTTCCTTCGCATTGGAACTGCTTGGTAAATGACGCGGCGATGAATGTGTTGTGTTTTGCGTAAATTTGAAGTCAATGCCCTGCTTTTTTCTTCTTTCCCACTCTCTCTATCTACCCATTTTATCGTGCTTTGACGTTTGCTTTCTCTGAATATTACTTCACTTCACGGAATAGTTTATCGCCTAACATAGAGAAAAACTCTTCCATGGCTTTTGATGCGCATGGTGTATGGTGAAAAACATTCTACGAACTGAACCAAAGTCAGGGTAACGAAAGCACACACAAATACACCAAGGAAAATTGGATACAAATAAGTTGACTAAACTTTCCTTGAATTTTCGTATCGGATTTATTGACTACACTGCTTTCGTGCATATGGTCGTTTCATCGCTCAAACGCTCACACTCCCACATCTTTTTCTATTGTAAACGGCATTTTTGCAGGACAATCAGTAATACGAAGTCAAAAGCAAATATATCACTTAGAAAATTATCGTTTGCGTATCATAGATGAGCTTTTTTCTTTCTGTCCACTTCGTTAACGACATTTCAATAATAATTTTCCTAACTACATAATGTGTCTCGTGTAATTTGTCATTCGAGATACAATTACCATTCTGGTCACTATAAAACGTGATGGTACATGTTTTTCTGACTTTAACGAAGGAGCAGAATACCATTTGAATTTATCAAACATAGACAAAAAAATGAACAGAACACTTTGCTAGTCATTTTCTTGCTGTGTCATAGTGAACACATTTTCCACATTTCAGCACGATAAGAAAGGAAATGCCAAGCTAATATTTCAATTTTAATGAGTTTGACTGAACAGAGATTATGTTCTTAAGCAATGATAGCAATCATTCAATTGGATTGACACTTTTTTTGCATAAAATGTCTGAAACATTTTTCAACTATATTTATTATCTTCCTGTCTTTCGATGGCAAAAAAATCGAACTCTAGAAACAGGGCCTCTCTTGAGGTTTTTTTTTCCCGCTTTTTGCATCAGTGAATTATTTTTTCTCTCGTCCCAGTTTTCGATCATTTTCACAAATCCAATGCTGATTCACAGGCAAACCATGCCCCAAACTCTATGTATCGAAATGAAGTTAGCGAATTGAAGACGAATTTGCTTGTTGTTTCATTTTCGGTTCGGAATACTTTGTCGGTTTTCCTATGTGTAACGTTAGCTAAGTGTTTGCACCACAACAAACACCGTCACAATAAATGATGTGGAACAGCTTCATCGAAAGAATAACTGAAATTTGGCGAAACGGAACAATGAGGCGTAAGTACATTTTGTGTGCGTGTATATGTGTATATGTGTATATTTGTTTCCTTTGCTGTCTTCAATATGTATTCACAATGTGGGGTTAGTGTGCGTCAGTGTTTTCGCATCTGATTAATTTTCACATTTTTTAACATTTATTCACCATTACAAGTGAGTTTTGACACCTGATGTTATACGCTGTGTGTGGTACGTACATTCCTAACTGTGCATAAGAGACCGATTTTTTGGTTCATTTATTCCACAAACCGAGATTGGCTGCGAATCGTTCAGACACACCGCATACGTAATGATGAATACGGCGTAGAACCTGAATACAGACTAAGGCGAAAAAAAACAGACTATATAATACTGAATATTAAATCGCAATAAAGTTGATAAAAATGAACGACGGAGATGCGTTCAAATGTGGTGTGTAGCAACCATAGAAGATAAAGTGGTCTCATATTTTTTTTTCACTTCATCATGCATACCACACAGTCGTTGTGCTTGCGTAGAAAAGTAGGAGACAACTTGGCGTTAATTGGCCCTGCCAACGAGATCTTCTTGCCGCTTTTTTTTGCGTACCAATAATGTGGATATTGATATTCATTTAAGCAAACGCACCATATTTTTTCCTTGACTTTTGGTGTATGAACATCGTAAAACATATATTTAGACAATCAAATGCGTTGAAGCACCGAACCAACAGATTTGTTTACCATTCAATGACTTTTTGTGGCTTCAAAGCTCATGCTGTACTTTAGTCGAGTAACTTTATATATAATATATAAATGAATGTGTTTATAAAAGAAAGTCTTTTAAGATTTTTGACTGAATTAATCAGCCTCTCTGATATCAATAGATAGAAGAATAGAGAATCATGCACATAGTTTGCTGTAACAAGTATGCGTCTGTGTTAGTTCAAACGTTGAAAGTATGACACATTGCACTTAGTCCCCAGGTGCCGCTGTATTGTTTACTATTTTCATGATCAGAATTGGCTGGAATTAATAATGAGTTTTTTCGAAATCTTCAAGAATGTCTAATTCAACATCAATTAGTTCACATTATTTTTGAAAAAATAAAATATTATCTGAAATTCCATATAAAAAAATTTCATTGAATCCAAAGCTCCCAGAATGCATTGACGAATCATGGAAACTTAAAAACCGTTTGTCCTATATCGCTTGCTAATCTTCCATCTTTCGCAATCATGTACTAACCTTCTGTCCTAGCTTCTGTCTTTTATTAATTTTTTCTTTCTCGAACGATCAAATTACGAACGGAAGTAGTAAAACAAGCGATTCCATGGAAATGGATAATTTAAATGAGAAAAACGGTAATATGACAAGAAGAACCGCGACCTCAATGGATATCATTTTATTGGGCGTAACAAATCTTCAATTTCAATGTACAAAACGTACACAGTACAGTACAGTACATTGTTCAAGGCAACGATGGCGTCAATGATACCGAAACTTCTTTCATTAATTCTGTGCGAGCGCAATGAATTTGCATACTTAAACATAAAAACATAAAGCATATTTGAACGCATGAGAATATTCTTGACCTGCGAAAAAAAATTCGTTCCGAAATGCCTCATATATTCGTATAGCAACAAAAGAGACTCAAGAAAAAAGTGAGCATAAAAGTGTCCCATGATTATGTTTGCATTCTCACTTTATTCATGGGACTCTTTAAGCAATACAAATATATGAGGCGTTTTAGTTGTGCATTTTGACTTGAGGCCTTTTTATGATAATTTTGATAACAAGGAATGCGAATTTCGATGTGGCGATAGCACCAATGGATTGGGCACAATAAATTCTGTATCAAAATCGAGAAAAAAAATTCAAACTTTTTTTTCGATTTTCGGCTGTATTGCGACCGTCTACATGGGAAGATTTTATGAAAACCCCGGAGCGCCGCTGCAATTGCATTGGATTCTATGGCCAAATGTACACATGGAAATATCTCGCAAACGGCTGGTTAAATCGGCAAAACGGACCATGATGTCGCCCCCACTGGGAGTGCAAACACCCGGCTGGTTAAACGGCCTAGAATACAAATCCGGTGGAATTTCAGCTGATCCATGGATTCTCAGGATTTGAGACACTTTTATGCTCACTTTTTTCTTGAGTCTCTTTTGTTGCTATACGAATGTATGTGGCATTTCGGAACGAACTTTTTTTCGCAGGTCAAGAATATTCTCATGCGTTCATTTGATAATAATGACAACTTAACGCAGACCAAATGACGCTCAAACATCACGGACACAAAAGAAAAACATGAAAAATGGACAATTTCAATGTGTATCTTCGGAACTAATTCAACTAAGAAAGTAGCTCAACCAAGACTGTTTGGTCTTGTCCCGTTTTATTTGTCTTTGATGATTTCTTGAAAAATGGAAGAAAAAAATTGCATTTGCAGTGCACAAAATAGTTTGAAATTGTATTTATTTCAATTTATAACCGACGAAAAACTCTTTCATCGCCACATCTCTTTGATCGCGTTCACTCTTTTTTGCTAGCATTATTAGGAAGTAATGCGTTTTTGATGAAATTACAACTGTTTATAATACGAATATTTTGTTCGTTGGATATGAGCCAGATCGCATAGAGGTCCTTGACATCAAATCGACATTGATTATTTCATTTCATTTCTCAGAAAAACAGATAATTGTGAATAGCGCTTCATACAATACACCCAAATAAATATTGCAATTGGTTTTTCAATATACGTCGTTCCTTGGCGAAATTCGGTGTTCTTGCAATAGATGCATTCTGAATTCAAGGAAAATACATAAACCATGAAAATTCACGTTTTTTTCCCTTTAAGCATAAAACGATTTAAAGTCAGCAAATAATAAGAGCGCTGTAATATGAGTGTTATTGTTCCATTGTTGTTAAAAGTGTGATAAAAATGACAAAAATCGTTAGTCGAAGATGTTTTAACGATGATTCGATTTGCTGTCGCACATCATTTTTTAGCATGTCATTTTCCACACAAACACGTACCGATGCGGTATAAAAATGCTTTTATTTATGGTGCGAACACCAAGTAAAATCTTCAGAGGGTTGAAATGCTTAAGGAAAATGATATTGTCAATTAAAATAGCAACACACACACCATATATCTGTATATATTGAGCCATAAAGATTATTATTGCAGGCAATAACAATGAAAACGAAAACTAAAACATAGACCATTATGTGTGAGCGTTATTACTGTGGATTTTTGGCATAGGTACACCGTCTATGTATATGTACATTCTACATTGGGTGTAAATGTGTTTAATAAACACTGTTTATTCTGCAAATTTATCATTCGGCTGGTACGTGTGATTGAAGTGATGATACTAATCCAAAGTGTAAACATGTAAACGATGACGATTTTGAATAGCTGAAATTCATGTTCTTCGTTTAGATGCAGACTCACATAAACATTCTCACGTACGCACGTATGTACATTTAAATTGCAACAATAAACAACAACAAATGTGATGTAAATTAAGAAATAACTTGGAAAATTTAGCTAATCTTTTGGATTTCATAAACATGAATTCACATGAAACAGAATTAACAGAAAATTTAAATATCCTTGTCAAACGCATTCGATGTCGGATTACACAGCCTATAGATAAAACAACAGATGTTGCCTTGGCAAAAAAAAAATGGAAATTTTTTTTCAATAAAATACGAGAGAAATTCTCTCTATCTAGTATAATGCAAGCAAACGAGCAAATTTCAAACAATAAAATTGACTAATGAAAGGTTCTCGAAATATTAGTACCTAGAAAGTCTAAAGGTTACTTACGTTTCGGCCATAAATGCTGTGGCATGGAAATAAAACCAACAATGAAAAATTTATAGCATGATCTAATAAAATCTTGACAGCTGTGCATAATCACATCCCTTTGGAACCTTTCAACACATGCATATATAGTTTCATGGCTCGAATTTGCACAATTAAAACCAACAGTGGAATACTTCGTATACTGATTCATGTATTCGGTTGAAACTCGGTTGACCGAAGCGCCATCTAAAGAACCGATGACGAGTTCGTGGTGTCTGTATGTTTTACTTCAGTATGACGTTTGACAGAACGGAGAGTTTACTTGATTGCATTGTCATTTGCCTTAGATTATCTAGGTGGTGTTTGCGCTCAATATCAGTTGTCAAATTCAAAGTGAATAGGAGAGTTGATTAAAACACACGATAAACCTAAACCGATTTATTTTATTGGTATGCAGACGAACATTCGGCCAAAACTCGTAATATTTTTCCAACTTACTCGTAATACTTGTTTTACTCTAAATTAAATTAATATTTTACCACACAATTTTACAAACAATTAAATGTTAATTAATGAAAATGCAATCATGTTTTGGTCGCTTTGGAATATCAGTTCTGTATAAGGGTAAAATACGTCGTTAGTTTTTAGGCAGGTGTAACAGAACATTCTAACATTAGCATTTAATAGTAGTAATTCACGAATTAATGGAATCGTCCATCATCGAAATTTATTGATTGTTGTAATTTAGTAAGCGCCGTCACGCACTCAACTTGTTTACACTTTCGGCCAATCGAAATACTCGAGCTAATATTCCACTCGAAATGTTTATTGCCGTTTTAATTAAACGATTGTTATTTTTGTTTTTTTTTTCCCTTCTCTCGAAGGTATCATTTACGGTGTGTTGAATTCCAATAAGAGGTAACCCTTTAAATTTTACGAATTTTCTAACAACCCATTCGAAAGAATATGTTTTGGCGCTTCTTATTACCTTTTTCGATTTATTAATAAGATAAAAGCGCTTATGTTGTCATTAAAGTTTTCATTCTTCCTGCTTCTGTTCACTATAACCATCCATGCCTTTTGTGAAAAGGTATTTTATTTCAGAACTAACTTGGTATTAATTGAAATTCTTGGTAGAAGCGTGTACTCTACAGCGGTTTTTCGTTGTTGTTGTTTAGTTCATTTCTGATTGCGAATAAAACGAATTCACCACGATCACCACTAAAACAATATCAAGTGTATATTGACAAACCCATAAACTAACGAACTTTATATTGTTTCTTTCAGGTACTTACCAGAGCAATGGGAGTACAATGTACGAAGCGAACACTACATACACTAGATCCTCATCAAGTGAGTAATTGAAATGAACGCATTTCTGATAGCTGATATGGGTTTTATTTTCATTATATTGGAGGAAACAATGAATGAGAGTCCGCAATACTTTTTCATGTCCACCCGAATATTTCAGTTCACCCTTTAATTTTAAATTTTTTTATTATAAATTTGGTCTTCTCTAAGAATTTTACAATTTTGATCAATTTGTGTGCGCAACATTTTCCTAATAGATTAATTGACACTATTCATGTTAATACATTGAACGAAATGGTTATATTCAATTAAACCAAACCACAAACAGTGGCAAACTGATAATATCCATATCCTTGCAACAGACACTGAACAAAGTATTTTGCGAGGGATAAATGAGCATTTAATAATTCACTATCTGAAAGTAAGCGTTGTGTAAGCTTAGGTGTTTGAACAGATGTACAATCCAGCTTAGCAGTTAGGCGTTTTCATTTATGAGTGAGAAGACATGATATGTTTTTATTTTTGTAATTAGGTATAATGCTGGAATTAGCTTTCGAAGCAACCAGTAAGAATTGGCAATGTAAAACTAAATGGCGAACATTTTACGTCTGTTATGGACTATATATACTATGTACAGTGGCAATGCGTTGATATAGGCAGACTTGTTGAGAAATAACGGTAAATAACAAAAAAAAAAAAAACAAAAATCCCATTCTTGGGATAAATATCTGGCTGCGCATACAAGAGCCGACCTCGATATGTAGCAGAACGGAATGTCTGCAGCAAATTTTGACGGACAATTTATTATGGACTATGGAAATATATTTTAGCAAAATCTGAGAAAAAAATCTCATCTTATTGAAAAACAAGACCTTGAAGCTTGTAAATTAAGGGGTTTAATTAATTTGATGTTTCTCATCGAATTATTATCGTAAGCACTACATGGAATGAAGTTTCAATCGTTTCAAGTCCCAAAATCATTTTAATATTGTCAAATATAATTAACTAAATTTATGTGATGATATTGTATTCTTCACTTATGTGTTTTATGTACATTCAATGTGAATGATCATCGTACATTATTTCATATTGGTAACGAAAAAAGTGTCAATTTTTTTTTTTGAGTTATCTCAAAAGTGAATTATATGAACATGATTTCATTTCATTTTTGCAATTAGGCGTAATTGCTTTATTTGAAATAAAAAATATGGATGGTAAAATAAATTAATTTACGGTCCAAAAAAATGGCCTAAAGACTCTTAAAATTTTCTTAGAAAAAAAAACAACTACAGTAGCCTACATTCCATGTAGTGCTAAAAATGGATTGGTTAATAGCGTATAGTATAAAATTATATAATTGTTTAGGGTCTCTGAAATTAGAAATTGTACATACAGTAGCAGGTACATGAAAAAATGACATAACATAACGAGAATTACATTAAAACGAAATTTGTCTCGTATATTTAGATTTGTAATTTATTGTTGATTTCTTATAGTTACGGCAGATCAAGTTACTTCATATCTTTTGGAAAACCCAGATTTTCTCGAGAGACACATAATGAAGGAAATTGAATTGGAGCAACTGGAACGATGGATGATACGTCGAACACAACAGGCAAAGAAAACAGCACCATCAGCAATGGGTAAAAATGGGCGAAAAACGAGTTTATCCAGGTAACTTATGCCAGCTTTAAATCAAGTAATTATTTGAACAAGGGCACTAATTAAATTCACGATCACCACAATTTTAATCACCGATTAAAATCAATTAAAATGCATATCAAATGTTCCACATACGAAAACACAATGATCAATATGTTTGAAAATTTTAATTGACAAGACAACCAATGCTTAAATGTCTGGTGTCGACCAAATTTTTGCATATTGACCGTTGTTTTCTCAAAATCCAATTATTTGCAATTTTTCCCCATTTTTCTGTTGTGTTTTCATTATTCTCGTTGAAATTTATTTTTTTCTTCAAGATTTGTCATTTGCTTCTTTATACATTCAATCGAAAGAATAGGACGTGATGAAGACTAATCACGATCTAATTCTCAATCACCAAGCTCTCATCTCACCATGCTTTTTTACGCTTCGAAATGTTTATATCATTTTGTTATACGCCAAAAAAAACACACATTTACACACACATCTGTTCATACAGTTCAGTTCAGTTCACACAGCTTCTGGTTTAGCCTCTCACACTCAAAATAACAAGTCTTGCTGATGATTCGGTGGAGAAACGAGACACAGTTTTACACTCACAAATATCGTTGTCTGTTGCTCACTCTCAGTACTTTCTCTGTCACTCGATCTCTATTTCCACTGAATCTTTGAAACAACAGAAAGAATCGTCCCTAATTCTTTAGACACTGCGCCTGTTCTTCTCTCTCTCTCTCTCTCTTTTTTCTTCTTCCCTCTGGTCTCTTTTCGTATTGTTTTTTTTTCTCTGTCTCTTTTCCCATTGCGCACAAAATGTAACAGATGTATTTATAGATGGAAATTCTGCGTGCATGCCGATAAACGTCAAATGCTATTGGACCTGACACATTCATTGCAATTGCATCCAACTAAAGCGCACGTATTGTGGGAACTATCGAATTGCATATCATCGGCTGTTGGTGCTGACAGTTTTCGCTTGTATTTAGCTGATAATGGTAATCCAGACGCACTTAACCTATATATTGGCCACGATGGCGAACCAAAGATGCAAAAAATTAAATGCGATAGCCATTCGATACCCACATACGTTGCGAGAACTCGTGAGCCGGTGCGAATATCGAAAGATGACCAATCGATGGATCCACGGTTTCCAGGCAGTTTTGAAGATGAGGTAAGAGATTGGTTCATTCACAGTGCATCGATTTGGGAATCATTCAATTTAATAATGAGCAAATTGCTACGCATTTCGATGTGGAATTCGAACCACGTTTGTTTATGCAAATAACTTGAACCAACCTCAACGAAGCGATCCGATGCGGTGTATTAGTAGCATTAAAATAATTAAGTAATGATGATTCGACACATGCAGGCTTGTCAGATGATTTTGGAGAAAAAAAATAGTCGAAATAGCAAAAAAAAAATTGAAATAGCAAAAAAAGTTCAAAGCGAAGAAAAGTGCAAATATCCATACAAACCGTTAATAACATCGTTCCTAAGGTCAAAAAATATTCGTTTCTTTTCGTTTTTTATTGATGAATAATGAGAAAAAAGTGCATGCCAATGATCTATTCACTGAAATATCAATATCATTTGTTTATAAACATAAACGATGTTCGACACTGCAAAAAAAAACAACGGGTCATTATTTCTTTCCGGACTTCTGTCTTTTAGCTCTTGACAGATTATCAATTTCGTTTTGAATTGCTTGGAGTTCTTCGCGTTGTTTTTTGCATTGTCAAACATGGCTTGTGCTGTTGTCATTGTTTCAAAGTTTTTAGTTTTTAATCCAGTAGATAACATATTTTCTGCAGCACTAGTTATCTCATCAATACTCGATTTCTTATCATCAAATCGTTTCTTGACTTCGTTGATTTTTTCCGTCAACTCATCATTTTCGAGTCTACGTTTCAAAATCCAACTTTTGTTGCAATTCATTGAATTTCGTTTTCATTTGATTTTGATGTTTAACCGTGCCCATGTGTTGTTCTAATGCAGCAAATCCTTTGCTTTGAACATGAACTGTTGCCGGGCTTAAAATATTTTTAAGTTCGATATTTTTGCCTTCGAATTCCACTGAACGCTTTAGCCATTCTTGGCTGAATTTAGTTCCTTTGGCACTCATTGCTGAAAGATGACTGAATTCAATCATACGATATTTCGCGCAATTGTCTTCAATTCGAAACGTTACTTACATTGATTTTTCGAAGCTTCGAAGAAATCCATGAATAACAAACCCAGCAAAATAATTCTTTGCTGAGTTAGCAAAAAAGCCAATCAATATATACATTGATTATCGATTGTTTCAACGAAGTATCTCAAAAATAAACAAAACGAATTTTGTCGCCAGTAAATTCAACAGCTGTATTTGTTTGATTTCTCAGAGATTTTAATGATTCATGTTGATCATATTGCATTTCAGTACCGTTAATTTTTTATTTTCATCATAAATTTCAAAATAGCTGAAAATAGCAAATTTTTAATAGCTACAATTTTTAAAATAGTCGAAAATAGCTAAAATAGCTAACGTGTGGCAAGCCTGCACAGTGTCTTCGTGATGTTTCAAGTGCCACGACTTATGCACACAACAGATTAGATCCATACATTCGATTTGCTTTTACCTTCTCTTCATTCGATTTCACCAGGGTAACGTTGCTCACATAATGTGTCAGGCAATCGCGCAACCGGATGGAGCGTTAGTTGCTGTGCTTGAAATTCTGCGTCGTGACGATGAAGAGGCATTTCATGAAGAGGACGAAGAAATTGCTTATAGTTATTTGGTGTGGGGTGGCATTGCATTGCATTATGCGCACCTCTTTTTGAATATGAATAAGCAACGAAAATTAAACGATTTTCTCTTGGCTGTCGTGAAGTAAGTAACCATTTAAATACAATTTGATTTCCGTTTCAGAGAAGAAGCAGAAGAAAAAGGATTAAAATCCATTTGATTTTATTTAAAAATTGTCACAGGTCTATTTTCCAAGATATGGTTAGCATGGATATGCTAGTGATAAAGATTATGAACTTTGCACAGCGATTGGTTGACGCAGATCGTGCTTCATTATTTTTAGTTGATTCGAAAAGCAAGGAATTGTATGCAACCATCTTTGATGTGGGTGTTGTTGGCTCCAATGCACCAGAGAATTGTGATTCAGGCGAAGAGAGTGCCATACAGCCACCATCGAGAGAAATTCGGTTTCCAATCGGTACTGGAATAGCTGGACAAGTGGCTTTGACCGGTGAAATATTAAATATCAAAGATGCATATTCTGATCCACGGTTTAATCGATCAGTTGACGCAATAACCGGTTACAAAACCGAGTCGATATTGTGCATGCCGATTTTTATTCGAGGATCAGTCATTGGCGTTGTACAAATGGTAAATAAACGATCGGGATGCTTTACGACCGAAGATCAAGAGGCTTTCGAAATGTTTGCGGTGTATTGCGGTTTGGCTTTGCATCATGCAAAATTATATGACAAAATTCGACGGTCCGCACAGAAATACCGAGTAGCGCTAGAGGTTTTAAGGTACGAAATTCAAATATTCTCTTTTAAGAACAACACATACAGATATGAATTTAATGAGCAAGAGAAGAGACCGTAATTTCAATTTATTTAGTAGTTTTTGTGTGTATGTGCCTATTAATTCTTTTTCTTGAGTGTATCTATGCTTGATTGAATCTTCTCTCCGCAGTTATCATAACACCGCTTCGGAAGAGGAAGTAAGAAAATGTCTAGAAGGTGGATTACCCGATAGCGTTGTCGATATCGATAATTATCACTTCAATCCGTTTGCCTTTGATGATTTTTTGAAAGCTAAATACACCATATATATGTTTATGGATCTGTTCGGGTTGCATCGCTTTGACCAACAGAGTTTGATACGATTTACGCTGACAATTAAAAAGAACTATCGACGTGTGCCGTATCATAACTGGACCCACGGATTTTCCGTCGCCAATACAATGTACACTGTTATCAAACGAAGTGAAGATGCTTTTCGGCCAATCGAAGTAAGGGATCAATTGAAATGATTACGCTTATGTGTACTAACTGGTATCCCTTTGACTGACTGATTTTACGATCGACTCTTTTTCCAGCGATTGGCGTTGTTCATTGGATCACTGTGTCATGATCTGGATCACCGTGGAAAAAATAATAAATTTATGCTAGACACCGAATCTCCGTTAGCTGCAATTTACAGCACATCGACCATGGAACATCATCATTTCAATCAGACGGTTACCATTTTACAGCAGGTTTGTATGCATTCCAATAGAAAGAAAAAAAATTACTAAATAGAAGATTTTTCTTTACACACACACACACATACAAACGCACACACAGGAGGGACATAATATTTTCGCGAAACTAAATAGCAACGAGTACAAACAAGTGCTTGGTCTTATAAAACATTGCATTTTAGCAACCGATTTGGCTTTGTTTTTCCCAAACAAAGCCAAACTCTCAATGTTAATGGAAGAAGAGAAATTTTCATGGAGTATATTGGAGCACCGGATGCTGATGCAGGCAATATCGATGACAGCCAGTGATTTGAGTGCTTCGACGAAGCCATGGGATATCCAAGTACAAACAGTGAGCGTGATTTTTGAGGAATTTTATCAACAAGGTGATGCAGAGCGGGCAGCTGGGCGGATACCAATTTCGATGATGGATCGAAATCAACCCGATCAACAGGCCGCATCACAAGTTGGGTTTTTGACTGGCATTTGCATTCCCTGCTACACACTTCTTTATCGATTGATTCCAGAAACGTTTCCACTTCTGGAAATGTGTCAGAAAAATTTGGACAAATGGAAATCGATTGCCGAAGAAGTCGTTGCGAAAGAAGGATAAAAAAATAAGATAAATCATGGACCAAATCACTTGGCAATAAATGTGGCAATAATTGTTCACTTTGTCGGATACATATATATATATTTTTTGGGTTAATTTACACTAAAACGCAGTAGAATGAAGAATGAAAGTACCGATGAATGAAAAGTTAAACCATGAAGATAACCGCACGATCGAAAGTCCTTAAATCACTTTTCCCGTGCGCATATGCTGACGAAACATAAAAAGAGCATCAAATTTCTGGGCGCAATTTAATACATCGGATGGGATAGTGAAATAATTGTTGTACGCGTACCTAGTTAATATTTTTCACCACTTGCAAATGAACTTTTCATAACAAGTAGCACAACAATTTAACAATTTACCAATTTAAAGCAGTACAGTCTATCAAACGACCATCAGCCGGCCTGAAAGCAAAATCAACTATTTCGATGAAGATACAAATCCAAAACAGAATTTGTCCATTGCATTTTTGAACGTTATGCAATTTGAAAAGAAGAGCATAGCGATAAATAAATGTCTTATTGAAAATGTAAGAAACATTATGATTAACAAAAACAAATTATCTATTAATTCAATATTTAAATTGTAAAACCATATAAAAACCAAATGATTGTACCACTTGTTTTGACTTTGTAAATAAACTTTTTTTAAAAGTAAATGGAAAAAATGACACAAACAAAACACAAATCAAACTGAACTATTACTAAGGATCGTAAAGACAGGGAAATAACAATTCATATAGACAGTTTACACAAAAAAATGATTCTCAATTCTCATCAGTTCTGTAATTTCAGAGATCTCATTTTGTATACGGCTATATCTCGAGATATTAGTAGCTCCTATATTTGGGCGATAGCTGTGCATATTTTTTAATAGAAGCTACCGAACGAATGCACAATTTACATTGCCAATATATTAGTTATGTGGATTTTTGTTTTGTTTTTTTTTTGTTCGTAAACAAATCTGCCCATCTTTTTACATTGCCACTGTACACAGTTTTTATGTGCAGTGCACATTTCGTATGGACATAAACTGTGTACAGTGGCAATGCTAAAAGATAGGCAGATTTATTTACAAACAGCAAAAAATAAACAAAACAAAAATCCCCATAACTAATTTATTGCACATACAAAACAACATTTTTTAAGCATAAAAGTTTTATTCGTGAAATGTCATTTCACCAATAGAATATTTCATTTGTATTGGTAATTTCAGTACATGTGCCAAATTTGCTAATACTGCCTATTGTATTGAATTTACCAATACAAATGAAAAATTCCATTGGTAGAATCATGTTTCACCAATAGACTGTCAGGATTCAAAAATATAATCTATTGGTACTTTTACATTTCACCAATAGTATTGGCAGGGTTCACCAATTCAGTTTTGTCTGTGTGGCAATGTAAAACTAAATGGTGAACATTTTACGTCTCTGTACTATGTACAGTGGCAATGCGTTGATATGGGCAGACTTGTTGACAAATAACGGTAAATAAATAAAACAAATCTCTCTTGCTTGTGTTTTCTCCGTTGTTGTGTCTTTGTTTGTGTATTAATTCGGTAACTGCTATTAAAAAATATGCACAGCTATCGGCAAAAAAATAGGAACTACTAATATCTCGAAATATAGCCGTATACAAAATGAGATCTCTGTGTAATTTTCATTTTTTTGAGTGCTAGCTTTGCTAAAAATGCATGACTTCAAATTATAATTTAATTCATAAACAAAAAATCGAAATAAAATGTATTTACGAGTAAATTTACTCTGAAATCCGTTTAATTTAACCCTCTAATGCATACAACCGCCTTTAGACGGGTAACATTTGAACATCTGTATAACTTAAACGGTTTAAGTTAAACCGTGCATTGGATCACATTGCTTTGAACGGCATTTTTGTTCTTTAAGGTGTCTTCTATAATTTTGTCTTTTACACTATTCGTCTACATTAAGCGGTTGTTGTGTTATGAACGAAAATGTGCGCAAAAACAAAAATTTGACATAATATATTATTCCCTTCCAAAATTATACACATTTTTGACACTTTTAAACAATGGATTTGATTGTTCTCTGATTTATGTCAATCGCATTTCCTGACTAAACCATGAGGAATCCAGGATTATGAATGTTTTTTTTAATTATATATATAACCAAAAATTAATCAAGTACTAGTACTCCCAGCCCTGGGAAAAAATTAATGCATTATAGGGTTAAGCTGGACCCATTGAAACTAAATTTCAATCGTATCAAATTGTATACATTTTCTCCTCCTCTATTCGTTCCCATTTCGAAAACCGATTTTGAATTTCAAAACCAATATTTTCTAGAGCTTTTCTTTAAATCCAATAATTGATGTTTACATGGCATGGAAATGGAGATTTAAATGTTGAATGTGTACATCAAAAAATCTTTGTATAATCCAAGCAAATATCAAAATGATTTTAATAATAAAATATATTTAAAAAAAAAAAACCAATTATGTTTTTTTCTATTGAGTAGCCAACCGTGGGAGCTTTTAAATTTGAAAGATTGTTTTTCTTCCGGGAAAACTTTTCCGCCAAAATGTTTGCCAAATGTATGTAGGAGCGGAAAAAAAGCTTCGGAGAAAGCTTTTCAAAAGCTAGCGCCTAACGAGTGAGCTCCTTTTCACGAAGACATTTGAATGGAGTTGGTAGTAGATCTTTTGTTTGCTTTCCTTAAAATCAATATTGCTTGAAAAAAAAAACCTTTGAATGGTGTTATACAATGTGCATAAACTCATTGTCCTGATGACTTTCAACATAGACCTATGTAGCGTTATTCGACGGAACTTTGAAATTTTTCGTCCAACTTAAATATGAAAAATGAACATCAAATAAGCCGATTATCTGAATTGTTTCGATACATTCGCTTCAAAAGCAGTTGTAAATAGCTGACATTATAACCATAGCAACTGGATGATGATTTTTTTCTTTTTTTTTCTTCCTTTTCTCGTGTGTCGCTTTTACAGTTGGGAGAAGCTGATAATGGGATGTAATTGTCGTGGGTGTACATTGCTTATATATCAGTCTCTGTTGTGTGTGACACAAGAAAGGCGGAACATTAAAACTGCAGTCATTATCAAATTGATGCCGGAACAAACAATAATAGATTTTTTACCCAATAAATGGAATTGAGTCGGTTGAATTCATTGCCAACTGGTTCAAACTAGGGTATCTCGTCAGTTTCAAATTTATTTAGATACATAGAAAATCACTTTAGTCATTCAAATGCTTTTCTTTTTTATTTTGAATCCTAATTTTCAAACCATCAATCGAAATTAATTGATTGGGACTTTCGAAAATGTGTTCATCATTAGTTAAATTGCGAGGTAAATTTTCAGTCAATTTTGAGCTTTCAAAAAAAAAAACGAGATTGACGATGAACTCTAACCTACTACAGAATTAGTTTTGAACCAAAAAAGCCGTTATGTTATAAGGGACTCAAAATGTAAACGAAATGGGCCGAAAACGTTGAATTCAATGTAAATCTTTACAAATCGAAGAAAAGAATCGAATTATTTCGCAAGGAAGGACAACCCTGGCTTGATACTATTAACATATTATGTCTAGTCAACAAACAATATTCGTGCATATTCATCCGTGATGCAAATTCAATTCACAAGCAACAAGGTAATTTGCAGAAATAAAGTAAATAACCGCACATAAATGATAATAGCGAAATATATGAAATCACAAAAGTTATGAGGGAAATAGTTGTAAGCCCCAAATTCTCAACACTAAATTGTATATATAAGCTACCGATCATTAGACAAACACATGCTGTATATGTGATGAAATATTTGTGGGCCGCTCTAAATCGAATCTCATTCATTGTCTTGTTCTCTTGATGCAGTGCATTCCTTCACTCCCCATTCGATTTGTGTGATATGGTACCACATTCCTATCTCGTTTGTCGACAACAACAACAAAAAATGTGCACGTAAACCTATTTTTATCCCGTGTATGCAGTCTTTAGCATACAATTTTCTAAAAGCTAGACACGCTTTCTAAGCTCAATCCATTCAGATTTAATTCATAACGTATGGGTAATCAAAACACGACGAATAAAAACGAGAAAATGTCATATCAAAAGAGAGGGAGGAAAAATACGAAAATTTGCTGTGAAAATTAATCCAATCAGCAGGTAGATATTTTTCCATTGAATTTCTGCTTGATCCAGCGTTTTATGATTTGCTAACCATCTAACGATCGATAGATGGAAATATTCATATTTATATAAAAATTATCATGTATTCAAGTTTTTGCTACAAAGCATCGAATCGCATAAGAAGCGTTCTATGTCATTCGTAAGATGAAAGAGAATGAACTACTTTTATGAAATAAGAAACAAAAACAACATCAAGACTTCAATTTCGGTTCAATTTATTCTTCATGATGTTTTCCATTGCAATGTGCATTGTGTGAATGAAATTTCTTATAAAATATGCGACAAAATGTCATGGTTGGCGAAAAATGTGGAAAAATAGATCGATTATACATGTCGTTGATTTCTTTTTAATTTTCTTCCATCATTCCTTGAACGTTTGCTCCTACTTTTGTTTTTTCACTTTTTCTCTTCTTTTCCACTGACAAGAAGAAATGATAAATGCTCTGGATGATATATACACGAGCTATTTTCAAATTGTAATGGATTTTATCACTTTCAACTTGAACGAAACAAATTAGCTCTTAAGCCCGATTGGTGGTGAAAGAACCTCTTAGAAGTTGGTATATTTTCTGTATGTTGGCGATACAAATATTATACTACATTATCCAATGTTACCTTGAATGAATATTCTAAAAAAACAATAATAAAGCCGATTAATAAAAATCTCATTCACTAGAACACGATTGTGAAAAAGTCTGGGAAAAAGTTATTAGCTTCAAGTTAAAAAAAAAGGTTTGTTTTTTTTTTTAACAGAACCCAAATTGGATATCTCAGAAGTGTCTAACATCATTGTGTGCATGAGTTGTGTGTAGCAACCAACGTATTAAACACAACGTAAGTGTGTTTTTAATACACTAACATAAACGCAGCAGCCTCTGTGTTGCCGTATGCAACATTAGGTAAATAATTATCTAATCTGTGGAAATATGACTGACAAGTGTTATATTGTATTTCCGTAAGATTTGTACGTTATGAATGGCGCTGTGATGTAACGAAGATTTAGGAACCTCGTTTACACTAAAATTTTCATACATATTTTTCAAACAATATATTGAAATACTTATTCACAGCGGTTCATTTGTCGTGCCGTATTTTCAAGCAATTTCCCAATTTTCCGATATTCGTACTGATATATCATCGCGATCACTCCACCATACCGCTCACTCATATCCGAGGGGCAGAGCAGTACTAGAGTATTTCTTCTAGTCCAAAGTAATTCCGAAGTAATTCACAGTAATTCCTCCTGATTTGTTCTGACGTTTCTGAGGAATTCTCTTGCTCATATCAGTTACAATGCTCTGAAGAAGATATGTGTCTCATTTGTTCATATTGTGTCGAGTCACTAGAGTCGATTTTTTTTTCGAACTTTGAGAACAAAAATATATTATTACTTTTTTAAAGTTTAGCCAACAAACTTGTTTACACTTTAATTGAATAGGACTTGAAGATCAAAAATACTATCATTCATCACATTGGCAAATAAAATTGCCACCATCAATTAATTGATGTGTAAATTGTTGATACAAATACAACAAGCTTTGAAGAATATTCAAATTAATCCTAAGTGTGTGTGTGTGTGTGTATGTGTTTATATGCTTCTTTCAATTTGATTACTAGAGTGTATTTATTCAACGTAAAATGCGGTTCAATTGAATAATAAATCTCTAATAAAGTGATCCATCATTGGTTTGCTATGTGAATGTGTGCATATGAAATAAATAAAAGCGCATCATTCATCATCATCTCTTGAAAATCTGAAACAATTGTGTAAAAATTCGAAGCTGAGCATCTCTTTTGTAATGAAAAACAACTTATAGTGTGTACCATTCAATGACTGAAAAAGCGCACGTGGTTTCGGGAGTGTGCACAGAATTGTGATTCAAACGTTTGTTTGCTGTATGTGAATCATTGAAGACGCGGAATTTCGTTCAAGCTATTAATAATAACAGAACCTGAAAACCACATCATGCGGCGCCCATTTGAATTTTCTCTTTCTCTCTCACTCTCGACTCGATTGTGTTGTTTTCCATCGAAATGATCGTTTCACCACATCTTATATGTTCTACATCGTACAATGATGATTATCTATTTTTGGCATCGATTTGAATTCTGTCTTTCGTTCGCTAGATTTCTCTCTCCGTAATTTTCTTTCCCATTTTGCTCTATCGTTTTGTGGTTTTTGACATCGAATTTGAATCTCCGTTCCGTTTCGTTTCGTTTTGTTCTCAACTCATTATGTGCATATTTAAGGTTGTCTATCATCTATTATTTGCTGATGAAGTCGACACATCACACGGAGGATTAAGAGGAAGGAGAATGAGAAGAACACACACGCATGGAAAGAAACATAAAGTCACAAATTGATAAGTATAAATATTAATATTAATGTCTTTTAATATGCGGGTGCTTCTGTGCACAGTTAGACGGTGGAGGGAAAGGAGGACAGGGACCAAAATTAGGCAAACGCATCGGTTTTCGATGTGGATCGGATAAGAACAATGATTCAGACTAGGAATCTTTTTTTAGAAAATTTACGGAAAAACTCAACATGAAAGAATAAAATATATACATCGAAGTAATTTGGTGTGTGGGGAATGACTCACACACGAATATGGAAACGAGCGCAAATGAACATGTGTTTGAACGGGCATATATGAACGATTTTTCCGAATGCTGTGTGTTACTCGCATCTTGTTGAACTCCGATACAAACGTTCCGAAGTAAATTACAGCCAAACTATGCTACGCTTTTATATACGTGTGTATCGTCGCATGTTCGTGAGAACCAATACAAGCAAATAAAAAACCACATCGTTATATTATGCAGATCGGACGGCGTGCGACATGGAATGCGCGTAAACTCAAAACAAACACAATTTTCTATAATAAAAAAAATAAGAAGAAGAAGGAAAAATATCCGAAGGAAACAGCAGCAACCATCCAAATATGCATAGCAAAGAGTCTGAACGAAACGAGACGAGACGGTTGGAGCAACATGTAAAATACATCGCATGCATTCATTCACCCACATTGGGGCTCCGTTACGATATCGGATTGACGCGCTATCTCGCTCGGCTTGTGAGCGCGCTACAATCCCATTACCCGAGTCACCGAACGAATGGCGAACGGAATGGAACGAAACGGAACAGAGCAAAGCAACAGCGACAAGACGCGCACGAACCGATAACAGCAACACCACCAGCAACAAGAATAACAACAACAACACCAAATAATGATTGCCGACACATAGAGTCATAGTGTGTCGGGAAAAACGCGGTCAGAAAACTCGTTCAGTATACAATGAGTTTTTGATTCGTGCATACACATTTGCTCGTGCTGACAGCAAGTGGAACTAGAGAGTAGAAATTCCCGTTATTTTTGTGTATTGAAGTATAACATAGTAGCTCTGTATTCCCCACATATGTGTCGCTTTTCTGTTTAATTAGTGAACATTTCGTGTTCCAACAAAATTCATTCCGCTTAGATTGGCCACATTCATTTGATGAAGAAATGAGGAATCGAAATATTTAGTGAATAAGAAACAAAAAAAAACTGAGAAGCATTTGTGGCGAAACAAAGGAATACGGACCGAAATGAATAGTAGAGACGAGGTACATGCGAAAGAGAAAGAAAGAACAAGAGCCTGGGTGAGTGGGAGCGAGTGAATGAAGGAACGTGAGGGGAATATAGTAGATCGACCGATTCCGGTCGTGTTTATCGTAATTCGTAACGAATTCAGTTCTATATTTGGACAAGAAAAACTATGAAAAACGATTTAAATAGATGAAATTAATACGAGATAATCAAGTCAAAAAAACGGAAAATCATAAGTGACATGATTAAATCATGTGATGTGAAAGCATTCGTTTATTGTTTTGTTTTGTTTGACGCACTCGAGTCGATTATATCTAATAACACTATTGTTGTCCGGATAACAATATCGATGCATTATTTGAAAACGATACCAAAAAAAAAACATATTTATTCCATTTTAATTGCATTTATAATTTTCGGTAATATATTAAAAATAATCTCGTCTTGGTTTCGATGTATGCCACGGATCTTCCATCATCATTCATTGCCTTATAATGTGTGTCCAACTGACCAAAGTACATATAGACTCTCTCGTGTATATGTATATAATGATTGTATAATGAATAGCGAAGAACGCGAATGAAGATCAGGTTTATATTAGCACACTTTAGTGTGTTCATTTATTTGTAGGCATATGCGACTTTAAAATTTACATTGAGTTGAGAAATGAAAAGGGTAATATAAAAATGCTATTATAGACGGAATGTTCAATTGGTCATGTGTGTAACCTTTTTTTGTCTCGGTGGATCGATTCGAGTAACATCACACTTTTTAACTTTTCTACGATTCGGTTTTTTTTTTTCTTTTGTTGTTGCCGTTTTTTTCACATACACTGTCATACATCTTATTTCAAGCTTTATTTCATTTTTTTTTTAAACAGCGATTAGTATAGAGGTCCTTTTTTCACTTGTAAGCTCCATATATCTTCAACATGAGGCACACGCCTTGTATTAGTGTACATTATATAAACCCACAATATAAATGGCAGAAATATTTCGGGCAAACTAAATAATACAATCGTTATTGCATTTTGTTTTGGTTGCAGAGCTGATGCTCTACGTTTCGATTCTATGTATGATTCCGTTTTCTATTTCCAACCTCGCAACACAGTGGGGCATAATACGAATGTTATGATCAGGGAAATATTTTTTTTTTTTTTTCAATATGTACCAAACGCACAAGGGGGTATAGTATCAAAACCGATTTAAGTGATATGATGAGAATGAAAAAAAAAAACAACGTTCAAATATAAGATAGAATGTGTTTGTTTCGCTCAACAATGCTAATAATAAAAAACCAGAGCGATCATCTGAGAATATTTACGTTGTTCAAAACAACACAAAATACACAATTTTCCAAATGGCGAAAAGAACCAAGTGTTGATCGTCGTGATAAAGAGCAAGCACGAGCACGTACAAGCTCATAAAATGCTTTAGCATACAAGTGTTATTTTTATGATATTTTCGGTAGACTGAAAGGGAAAAGTTTATGTTTTCAATACACACTTTTATCTGCTCCTTGTTCTTTTTCTATTTGATTTTATTTCAAACACAAAACACCATTCTACATTTCGGTCATCAGATTTGTCGTTTCGAAGATATTCGTTATTGTTGTCTTTTTTTAGAACAAAACAAAAAAAAAATTGATGAATAAAAAAGCTCAGCGAGAGTAGAGTTAATATGATGTTGTAGAATGTGCGTGTGTGTACTGAATTTCAAGTGATATGTGTCTGAAATAACTTGAGTCCCCGAATACACCGTCAAATGAACCAAATTGTGCAGAAAAAAACACCGAATATAATTCATCTTGGAAAAGAAAAAAAAGAATGAATAGCAAAAAAAAAAAACATATAAAAATAAAATAAAATAAAACTTGTGAATGCTATAAAATGTGTTGAAATAAAATCAAAGAAAAATCTTCAGAGTAGTGGCACTGGGGCTCTCGTCACATTCCGATGTGAGGAAATTCCTACTGATTCATTGTAACAAAATAGCCCGCCGTCGCCGTCACTCTAAAGGTTGGTTCTCTTCCTTGTGTTTTATGTTCCAATGAAGGTATTTCGTAGAAAAAGTCAATAGACCCAATCGAAAGCAGTGACAAACAGGAGAGCGAATAAGAAAAAAAAGCAGAAAAAGAAAGGAAAAAGCACAGAGAGAAAGAGAGAGAGAGAGAGAGAGAGAGAGAGAGAGAGAAGAAAAGAAGGAAGAAACAAAAAATCAATCAACAATAGAAAGCGAGTTACAGTTTTATGTATGTATGGGCAAAAGAAACTGTGTGCATTGCACAGTGAACGTTTATTTTTGGAGGAAAAAAAACTGTTCGAGCAAAATCCATGTGTCGTTTCCTTTCGTCTTACGGTGTGGTTTCATGCATTCACTGAACTGAGAGAACTTTTATCTCGATACAAAGCTTATGAACAACATCTAGCCAACAAAAACTACAATAACAACAGCAACAACATACACAGATTTAGTAAGTATTTTTTTTCTCCATTTCTTCTGTATTTAGTTGTCCTTTTTCCTTGTTTCTCTCAATGACACTATGAAAACAAATAACAATTCTCGAATATTTTGTCGCTAGTTGCCATTTTATGGCTGATATACTATAATACTTTATTATTATTATTGTGCAGGGATATATTGATTCCAATTCGAAATAGATTTAATGTAAACTTTATTGAGGAGCAACAACAAAGTTTAACAGAGAATACTTCAGTTTAAAAGGTGTGCCTTTTTAATATGACATCCAACATATTGCAAAGTTGATTGCAATTTTATTTTGTTCAACATATTTGTGTGCAAAAGTTCATCGATGAAAGTTCAAAGTTCATAGCATAAAATCATTGTTTTGACATGCGCACAATACCTTTCATGCGTTAACACTTTATTCTACCAATTTGTAATAAACGCGCCCGAAGATATTTTGAATGGAAAATAAAGTAGTTTTGGCAGCCAACTCTGTCATTTGTATGCCGTTTTTCGTCTATTGCTTCGAATCGTTGCTAGTAGCCCATTCTGTATATGATTTTCTGGTTGGATGAAGAGACACACACACACACACACACACACAGTGAATTTACTCAAAGGATTTGGCATCCTTTACTGCTGTGTTTGTATTTTCTGGGAAAAAATGAAAATGCTGGAACATAATTGCTCATAATAATTGACCTACCTACACACTTAATATCATATCAAGTTATTTGAAACGACAAAAGCCAAACATTACCACACGAGTGATCAAGTGTTTATATATACATGCATTAGGGTGGACCAAATAAATATGTACATCTGTTGGCACTCTCTCTGGCAATTTGTTGACAACTAATAGTGTTCTCCAATAGTGTGTTCCATTGTTCAATACTTTTCGACATTCAAAATTAAAAGATCGACCCACCCCAACTTGCATACCTAGTATATTCACATAAGTCTTATGAGCAGGTGCTTCTGACCTAAATCTAATGACTTTAGGTTATAATTGCACTAAAATATAGAACAATTCAGATTGCATCCGGCATAAAATACCGGCATTCAGCACGGTAAAAGCTAAATTAAATATGCAAAAAGTTATTATCCAACGAAAAAGTATCGTTCATCGTGTTATGCCAAATGAACAGTATAAATCACTTTTCAAATTTTGTCTTTATTCTAGCAATTCCCATGCGAATAAGTGCTGTTCCCAAATTTACACAGAAAATAAAAACATGGAATGCTAGGAATAGGAGCACCATATATTGCTTCATACGTAATTGACACGTCAGTGTCGTACGTCGAATTAGCGCAACATAATATTGACACGATTCAGACACGCTCCAAGAACATATAATCAACAATTACAATAATAACATATTTTCAACTACAATATATAGGGCAACAGCATTTTTTCTTGCACACATCCAATGAAGCAAAATAATGAAAATCTTTTATTCTTGTGTATTCAACTGACTAAAAGAAACATAATCACGCGAGCGGAAATTCTGTGGCAGACGTATGAATGTCTGTTCAATAAAAAAAAAATATATACACATTTCTGTTGAATTCCAAGAACTGTTCGGTTCTAATACGTATGATATTTTTCGCTTGAAAATGGTTGATGTGTTGTACATGTTCAAATTTTTCATTTCGATATTATATATTGAAACCAATTGCAAGAACTTTCATTCAAATTTTGTAGGAAAATGCCCCATAAACGTAAAAACAAAGGATTCACGAAAGCTGTACCGAAAATTCAACGTGCATAACAATGATGTTACGTGAAAATTCAACGTGCATTTACATAAGTGGCAGAATTTGTCAACCTAAACGTTTCTAAAAACACCAATTATAAAAAATGTATAAATGATTGAATGTGTTTTCAATAAATTTCGATTTATTTATTTTTTTATCATTCAATATCAAGTTTAAATCGATGAGATAATGCTTGCGTTTTTGACGTCTGAATAGATAGATTTTTACACATTTCACTGCATTCAGGGATGGGAAGAAACTGACAAAAGATATTGATCCATATTGTTTGTCTGAATAAGTGGATTTTCTCATTCCCGTGATTCATTTGCATTTGGTTCGATTTTACAGCACACAGGTGAAGAATTGATGGAATCTCAGGCTAGGGGCTTCTAACTCCAAACGAATGTTTCATATAAATACGTATAACCACGTATAATTGCCGTATATTTTGTGTATATTTCACATATAACCCGCGTATAAGCCGTATATTGAAACCATTTCGCATATAAATTTGTATTGGCGAATAGAGATAAAAGCCCCTAGATCTCAGGTCGAGCAACTGATTCTAAAAATGAACAATTGCTTGAAATGATATCGAAATGGTCAAGGAAACTATTTTTCATTCGAACCCAAGAGATAGAGTGAAGAACAGAGGATGAAAAAGACAGCGAGAGTGATAGTGATAGTGAGAGAGAGAGAATGCGAGGGAGATAAATGTATAAAAATGTCATCAAGTGTAATACTAAACACTACCTGCCACATAAATACAGTGGGTAGTAAACATCATAATAGTAGCCAATGATGGCAAACGGCCAAAGCTTTAATCGTAATGATTCCATGGTTTGGTGTGTAGAAGTTGTTTTGTTGTCACAAAGCCATATGCTACAGATGATTAGTTTTCTTTGGATCTGACACGAATGACTGACCTCTGCCAATGAGGTAAAGAGCGAATGTTTGTTGTAATGGCTTTTGTAGGAAATCAAACTGTTGCATCCAAATAGACCTATAATACATGTGTGTATGAGTGTGAGTGTTTGTGTGTTCCAGTGATCATCTCCTCCCTTGAGCTCCGGCTTTAGAATGTATTCGGTGTATGCGCCCTCTGTTTTTTTTTTCGTTTTTGCATTCCTCTTGTCGTTTCATCACCCTGTGTTGTACAACTGTGCCAACTAACTAGTCACTATAATGCACAATGAGCTGAATCAATATTTAAAAATGTAAATCTTTCAGCAAACAGAAACAAATCAACTGAATCGGTTCCGCGACAAAAGAAGAAAAAAAGACCGCAGAGCTTCACTTCGCTCCGCTCTGCGTTCTTGAGTTTTTAGTTATTTAATTTATTTTGTTGTTTCACAACAAACTATTTTTTGGCGCACTACATGAAATGTATTTCATCAAAGTAACTTTGAAGTAATATATTTATTTCCAAAATGAATCACAAGATCTTGGTTTTATTTCTTTTTTCAAATATACTGCCTTTGGTTTAAATTAAATAAATAATATGAGGATAGAATCGAAAGTCACTTTAATTCTGTTCAAGACCCAGAAAATACTGTACGAAAAATTAATGTAATTTTTAAAAAACATTTGATAATAAAAATTCGATTGGCGCTTTGAGATGTTGTGCACTTATTTGTCATTGGTGCACCTGTTTTAAATTAAATAAAAAATATGAGCATAAAATTCAAATTCACCATAATTTGTTTCAAAACTCAAAAAGTATCTAGAAACAAAAGCAGATTAGTAGCTCTACATTTCATGTAGTGCTAAAAAAGCACACACACACAAAGGAAAATTACGAAAAGCACAAATGTTAATCATAATAATATAGAATGGTACTTTAAATGACAGTGAAAAAGTTAATATGCAAACAAATCGAGCAAAAGAATGAAAAATCTATATAAAAATACCTATAATTGTATGAATAGTCTGGCTTAATATTTTGCACCTAAATATACATGAACAAATGAATAGCAGTAGTAGAAAAAACAACAAAAAACGACTCGCTACAAGTGAAAACGAAACAAAAAGCAATCTTGTTTGATTGAAACGACAAAACAATGAAAAATAAAAGAAAGTAGATTGTCGAATGAAAAGAAAAACTGGAAATGGTCGGAAAAGAGTAGCGGAAAGGAGTAGAAAGAGCTACAAATACAATACACATGTACTACCTTGGACCCAAGAGTAAAACAGAACTGAACAATGTCTCCAACAAAACGGTATATATCTCTCTATCATTCTTTTTCTCGCTTTCTTTGTATATATCCATCCTACCTTAGCCATTTCATACACAGGTTGGATTTGATTCTTCGATATTGGTAATGAAAATCTACATTTGAAACGCTCTATCATTTTATTGGCGTTGACGAAGCCGATGTTCTCACTTATTGTCATTCCATTCGTTTAAATGTTCATTTTATGTTCTGTACCTACACATAAGACCTATAGACAGTAAAAATCCATACTATACAAGAAAGCTTTTTCGTCTTGATGCTTACATCGTCCTACTAATGCAGAGTATTGTGCTATTCTGTTCTCTTCTTTTACTTTTTCTTCTTTTTTCGATGTCACAAAACTGTTCGATTTTAATAGCGGCAAAAAAACTCGTCATCAGCAACTGTTTCATTGGCAGATAGTTCTTGTAATGAGTTGATGTCCTCCCTTAGTATAAAACGTTATTAAAATGTCATAAATATTTGTCGTTATCAATGTAATTTTGATTTTTAAAACTCACCAAGAATCTCATCTACACTTATCCCATCTTATGAAATGACGACAGATGAATTTGCGTATTTTTTATGAAGAAAATTAAGGAATTGTCCCATTCAAAAAGAAGGAAAAAAAAAGCATTTTTCATTGCTTACCTCTACGGAAATTTGTTCATTCCATTTTTTAATACAACTATCATTTAGCGTTTGGAAATTTTTGAGTGCCCAAATAGTTAATGCAAAATTACCACAAAACCAGCACCATTTGATGATGGTCTCAGTGATGCTACCAAAATATCCATACATTTTGATGCACGGAACGGCTGAACACTGTGCGAACAGATGAAAGCGTTTTTAATTGAGTTATCGATGCCGTGATGTGAATTATAATCTGCTTTGGACGTACTATATCACATATATATGTGATATCTTAACTTATAAAGTGAACAGAGAAAAATCGGTCTGTTAATTTCATTAGTTAAAATTGATAAAATTCCGTTATTAAAATTGTTGGGTCATTTTCATTTTCGATTTCATATTT